GGAGGGGCAAAAGGGGGATTAGGGACGGTCGGCGCTGGGGCCGGCGCCGTCGGTGACAGCGGGGGAGCAACGGGAGGACGTGTCCCCCCCTTCCCGTGGTGTCCCCCCGTCCCGCGTCCCTTGTTCTTCGCAAGGTTGAAGCTGCGTTTTACATTTTGGGGGGAATGCAAAAGTACGCGAGGGTCCCCCAGCCAGCAGAACAGCACGTACGGTGACGAGAAGTGCGGCTTTGCCTAAAAACCTGTGTCGGAGCTGAAGGACGTGGATGGATGAGGTTCAGAAAGGGGAGGAGGGGGTTGGCACACTAGGGGTTGGCCTTGCAGTTCCCAACTTCTCCATTTTTTGGGTGCGTAAGGGACCCCCCAAACCATAAATTAAGGGCTACAGGGCAACCCAGGTGCCAAAATGCTGCAGTGGGGCAGAGGGCTTTCCAGCACAGCCCACCACCCATCTAGGGACACTGGTACTCAGGGGGGTTTGAAAGGGGCAGCCCACATCTGAACAGGACCCCAGTGCGTTGGGATGGCAGATGACAACCCCCTCCGCAGGCCGGTTCCTGCTGGAGTATTCCCCCAGGGAAGCGCAGCGGCAGGGTGCAGTCCCAGCGGTGCTGCGCTGCCTGTGAGGTGTCCCATGGCCGGGGGCAGCGCTGCCCTCCAGGGCCTCAGCCCTTTGTGGGGGTGCAATAGCCGGTCCCTCAGATCAGGCTCCGGGAGAGAGATGAGCAGGGGTAAGTCCGATAGGGATGAGCCAGGCTTGTGCAGACCCAGGGCAGCTGAGGACCACGATGTGCTTCCCAGTCTGAGGGTGGATGGTTACGCAGGGTGGTGTTGCCATCTAAATGTGGGATGAAGGCATCCAGCGAGTCTCCAGACAGTTTACATGGTCCTTTTGACTCAAAGAAAGGGCTGAGATCTGTTACCATGCCAGGATGTCCCTACCCAAGTGATAAATGTGCTGAGATTCTTCTAAACTGCAGCTCTTTTCACCAAATGCCACACCTGGGCACACAGCTGTGGCACACAGCTGGTGGGGCTGGCCCTGCCCTGGCACTTCTGCCCCTGGGATGTCCCCAGCCCTATCCGAGACGGCCTCTGCAGGCTGTCAGCAGCGTGGCACCTGCAAGGAGAGGAGGAGGAAAGTACCTCGGGGCCATTGCCCCACCAGTGGGATTGGGGAGGAGGACAGGAGACGCTGAGCACAATGACCTGAGCAGTGGGATTCATCCACGGAGCATCATTCGGTGCCAGGCTCCGCTGCTGGTATGCAGTTGGTTCCAGTAACCCGCTTCATGTTCCCTTAGCAATTACTTGTGAGTAACCAGTAACATCACCCATCAGCTGAAGTTTTCGATGAGGTTTGTCTGACATTCAGGAAAACATGTCTGACAGAACATGGCCTAATTCCAGTGAGGCTATTTCATTTAAAAAAAAAAAAAAAAAAAAGAGTAAAACTGCAGTTTTTCCAAAAGTGAAGTTTTCACTGTGGGCTCCTGGGAGAGAACTAAGGTGTTGGGCTTCCGAGCTCTATGCTGAGCCTCACCAGGCAGTGATTGCGATGGGAAAGGTGGCTTGATAGTGCTCAAATTTGAAACGAAATGTTTTTGATTAGTTTAATAAGCTCGAATGAAACATTTCTCTTCCAACGACATCAAGTGTTTCCTTTTGAATCGGAAAATTTAATTTGTTAAAGTTTTGGTGTTTCTGAATATGTTTTCTTAGAAACTAAATCTTCAAAAGAGCGTGATTTGTAACAAGCCGTGATAGCTCCTCTCTGATTG